AGAGTGATGGGAGAAGTAGAAGATAAAGAAGAAGAAAATGAAAGAAGGTGGTGGCAAGAGTCTGCAAGTTGGCCACTAGAGATAACGGCGATGGTTGTCAGAGTTGGTGGGGATGGGATTAGGGTTAGGGTTTGGGTTTGGCATTAGAGACTAGGGTTTGGGTTTGGGTTTGCGCTTAGGGATATAGTTGGTATTAAGGTGGAGGTTCAAAGAAAATGGAGGGGACTCGTTTTGTTGGGTGAGGGTTCAAAGAAATGGGAAAGGGGGGATAAAGTAAAAAAGTAAGGCTAAATAACAACCCTCCATTTAAATATATAATTTATTCTTAATACACTTTATATTTATCCACAAATTACCCTTGAATAATATAATATTTTAATTTTATGGTACAATCAAATATTAACCTTAATATAAAATCAATAAACTCTCCCTCTTCTCTTCTCAACCATTCTCAAGCACGTCCCAGCTACGTCATCTTCTTCCTAGTCTTTTCATTGCAAATTACTGAAGAAGAAACACATTGGGTCCAAGTTGAAGAAGGAGAAAGATGAAACAAAGAATGGTGGTTTGGTTGGGAATGGATGCACCAGATCATCCTTAAATAGGTAAAATCCTCATGTTTGGTCTTCCAGTGCCAAACAAGATTGTTTGTTCGGACTTTCAAATCTAAATAGTATTGACGTAAAACAATTTGAATACTCATTTTTATGTGGAAAAAAAAACAAGTAAATTAATAATTGTACTTTGATATTTATGTGAATATTTATCTTCTCTTTGATGGGTTGTTTCAAAAAACAGTTTTGATTATTATTATCATCTATTGTTTGATTTTATTCAATTTTTCTTTTATTTACAAGTAATAACAAAATAAGAAAACAAAGATATTGATGCTTATAGTGAGTTTTGGTGGGGTAGATTGGAGTTTGAAAGTGAGGAGGAAGAAGAAGAGAAAATAATTGAAACTTGAGAAGAAAATGAAAGCAAGTTTAATTGCCACCATAGTGGTCTTAAAAGAAATCCAATGTGGATTAAATTGATTAAAAATCAACTTTGACAATTTAGGATTTGGGGATCCTACAGGCTACAGTACTCAGGCACAACAAGTTGTTGTGCTTCCTTATAGACCATCGTTTCAAATCTCTTTCGATAATCCAAACTATCATATTGTAAGGTTCGTCGAGTAGATTATCCATACAAAAATTCAAATTGATTGGATATCTGCAATCCTATAACAAAAGTACATTTGTTTTCATAAAAATTAACGGTTAACATAATTTTCATAAATTTTTAGGACCTAATCATGAGGTTACGAATATTCGATTAACTTGATTTTTTACATGGATAATATTTTCGACGAACCCTACAATATGAACAATTTAGATTATCAAAAAACACTCAGGACAATCTCCCACGAAAGAGCACAGTAGGCTATTGTGCCTTGAAGGCACAACAGCAGCCCCAAATCCAACAATTTATGCCTTGTCAAAGGAAAATTAAAAATTTTGAATCATTCATCTTTTCAAAGTTAAACCCAGGCTCTTTTAGAAATACGGCAGATTTAATTTCGATTTCGATTCAAACTTGTTTCCTGATTCAGAATCCATTCTATTAGGTGCAGTCACAAAATCAAAGTTTCAAAATCCAAACTAAATTCCAAGTTCTGATGAACTACGTTGACTTGATTTTGAATGAAACTTGTTCCGTGGATACTTAAACAACCTATTCCATTGGGTGCAGTCACAAAACGCTATGAACTCAAACGTTCACTAAAATTCCAGACTCTCAAAAATCAAGGTCTTAAGTTCATTTATGAACTTCGACAGACTTGATTCTGTTTCAAATTTGTTCTTTAATTTGGATATGTAGGCAACCCATTCCATTGGGTGCAGTCATAATCATTGTGACTCAGGACATGATCCCTTTCAGAATCCTTTCAGTCTATCTTTTTTTCCTTTTTTTTTTTTTTTTCTTCTTCTGTTGATAACTCAGGACATGATCCCTTTCAAGTTAGAAGAAAACCAAAAACTCCCACAAGTGTTGCATCCGCATAACCAGTGACTGAAAGGATGTCTTCTTCAACTTAAAGGATTTTTTATCACCAAGGAGTCTCCTTCCAAATGAATGCCCCAATGCCCCAGCTCTCTAGCCAAAATCACAACTTTCCATGCACTAATTGGTTCCATAAAATCAGCACCAAATTTTTTTTTTTTTAATCAGAAAAGCAAAGCGAGAATTTATTAATGAACAACAATGCAGAAAGCATCAGCGTGAAACCCCTCCATCACAATTAGTTTGGCATGAAAAAGGCTAGCCCAATCATATGCTAGCACAATCCCCGAACAATGCAAAATTGGAGAGATTCCAACTAGCAACAAAAGAGAAAAGGAAGGCAAAGGAGCATCATAACATAAATAAAATATAGCAGCCAGCCCCAATAAGTGTCCTCAAACCCTCCCATCATCATGGAATTCACACCGCAATATCAGAGCCATTGGTATCTTGGTGTGCGTTTGGTCTCAACCAGACTTAAAACAAGTGGCTATGAACAGCTTAAGGAGAGGATGATTAGCCGCATTCAGAGTTGGTCTAATAAGTTTTTGTCATATGGAGGGAGGCTGCAATTATAATACAGTCTGTGTTGTTTGGAATCCAGGTGTACTAGGCCACAGTACTCATTTTGCCTAAGAAAATTTTGAAAGATATTGAAAGTCTTATGCGGAATTTTCTATGGTCAGGTATTGAATTAAGTTCGAATACAGCTAAAGTTAGTTGGAAACAGATTTGCTGTCCTAAAGTAGAAGGTGGTTTGGGCTGAAGTTCAATGGATTAAAGCCGCAATCATGAAACACAGTGACAAATGTTGCCTACAGAAGAGCAGTTGTGACATTGTTAATGCTGCTAGCCCACTTGATAGTCTCTCACAATGACCCTCACACCTGCTAGCACAATTCCTAAAATGGCACCATCGAATTTCAGGTTATACCAAAAATGAGGTCTTTACAGTCGGATCTTCATATCATGTTGTTTCGGGATTGGAAAGCTCAAGAGGATTATCATCGGAACCAGCTCAGTTGCAGCATTTTTGGAATTCAGAGTATCTGTGAAGTACCAAATAAAATTAAACTTTTTGTGTGGAAGTCCTGTTAAAAATACTCCCTGTCAAGATTCTTCTATGCAAAAGGAAAATTGTAACAGAGGTTGCGCCCTTTGGTGTGGACTCCTCATATAGAAATGGACATCCATTGTTTAACTAAGAGATTGTGAATTTGCAGCTAAGATGTGGAATGCCAGTGCTTTATGTTGTGTTTGGTTGGGGGATTTGGGAAGGGATTAGGAAAGGGAAATTGAAAAGGTAGGTGAAATGTGAATAAATCATGTCTATATTTCACATAGTTTCACACACCTTTTCCCTTTCCCTTTCCAAATCCCTCTCCAAATCCCTCAACCAAACACAACATTAGTGTTTTGTAGCAGCAGGAAAATGGCTGGTTTTGCTGGAATGTAGTACTTGAATTCAATGTCATCACCCTGACCCGGACATAGACGAATGTTTTTTAATCTTTTCCACATCATAAGGCGAGAAGAGCTCATCAACAACATTTGATTTCCATCTACCCGTTGAATTGTTGATAAGGAATTTGTCTGTTAACTCCCCCTTCATTTCGACTAGGAAGCTTCAAGTGTTGGAAAAATTCACAAACTTCATCTAAAGTTCACTGGATTCTTATCCTTTAGTTTTCTATCTTGAATTTCTTGGAAAGTCACATTAAAAGTAAATTTTTTTTTAAAAAAAATTATGTAAAAATTTACCATGTAAATTTATTTTTATATTTAAATGTCAAAAAGTCTCATTTTAAAATTTTGCCTTCAGGCTCCTGATGATGGTCATTGGCAGCCACTGGTTTTTTTTTTTTGGACCAGCAAAACAAAATCAAATTTTATTAAGAATATGAAAAAGTACACCAAAAACTTGGGGAGAGATTGCATCATTGTCAAGAGATTACACCCTAACTATGCTAGCACCCAATGCAAGACCAATCATGCGCATCCCTAAAGCCAAACCAAAGCAAGAGTGAGAGAGATTCCAACTCACAGCAAAAAAAACATCAAAAGAAAGAACCAAAAACACATCAAAGGGCAACTCCAGTTCACCAGCCTCCACCTACACAGACTCTAATCTGACTAAGATCATACAGAAAGTCATTGATCTTAATGAGTTCGCACAGCTTGACCAAGTCAGATTGAACACCCTTGAAGACAAAATCATTCCTATGTTTCCAAATAGATCATAGAACTGTTAAAAGGAATGGCTCTCCAAATCTTCATTTCCATTTTCTTAAATCAAAATCCAGCCCACCATTGGAGCAAACCATCAAAACTGAGCCTCGCATCATACTAAGTTCCCCACCAAAACATCACAGCAGACCATACCTTCCAGATCAATGGACACAACAACACATGGTTTGCTATTTCAAAATCAGATTGACAGACAATACAAAGAGTAGAAACATTTCCATTTAGTACACCCAAAAACTTGCTGTGACTTTTATATAACTCGGTGAGTCCGAGGTCGAATCCACAAAGACCAGCTTGTTCAAAATAATTACCGACCACTCAAATAAAGTAAAGAAAAATATGATTTTGAATCTTTGAAAGGGTTGAATAATTTGAGAAAAATAATTAATTAAAAGATAAAATAAGGTGATTATAAAAAGGGTACTAAGGAATCAAGGATCCTCCACCAATGCTTTCTTTAAAATATTTTAGATTCAATTTATACAACTCAATTGAAACATACACAAAAGGTATTTCCAATCAGAAGATAAAAATAATTATTCCATATAAAAATTAATTGCAAAAAAATTAATTACTTTCACTGATTGATTACACCATAAAAATCTAGTTATTTGATTTACAGAGAATATGAAGCTTCTATCGTTCCCTGAGTCTACAATGGAACAAGATATTATACAGAATAAAAAAAAAAAATCCCAAATAAATAAATCAATCAATTAAAATAATCTAACATTAAAAATCATGATTGAATCATAAAATGTCTATAAAGAAAACATTGGGGTTTCATCCCTAGCCTTAACAAAGAAAATTAGAACATCATAAAAAGAAAAAGAAAATAATATGTATTATGAAACGAATTTTCCGGAATGTTTCTGAATCATCCCCTCATCTTCTACCTATCCATCTATATATAGTATAACATCACCGTCATAGTGATAAACCAATTGACGCAATACACCCAATGAAAGCAATCCCTCATTTTACTTCTTCAGCACCTTACACATAGGCGAACCAATTGGAAGCTTTGGAAAAGAACAGCTTGCATCATTCTTCCAATAGTCTGATTGGCTGTGTGATGTTGCATCCCTTCCTGGCAAGAGTATGTTTTCAATTTAGCATCCTTTTTTCTTTAATTGCCATTTAGCCCCAACATTTATCCTAATTGCAAATTATTCTGTAAAAATTAAAATTAAATCATTAAACTCACAACTAAGAATAAAGCAGGGGAATTAAAATTGATAAGAGTGTATTAATGATTAAAAATAATAAGATAATTATACATTTTTAACCATTCATCACACCCCCAACTAGCTAATTGCTAGTCCCTAGCAATAAAGGTAACTACAAAAATATAGTTCTTAACAAAAATATGTAAACTAGCAGGACAACACGACTACATTTAGCATATGTAATAAGCCTTTAAACCCCTAAGTTACCCTTAGTGGACAAGTAATAGTCTCGTGAGGGTTTCCAAAAATGATACCCACAAACATCCAAAAATTTAACCTCACTGTCTCCCTTATTCATATGCACAAAGTTCAAGAACAATAGTCATGAATTTCATTATACTAACAAAAAAATCAGTCAAAATTTAAAATACTAGCAACAAGTAAAGATATCCCAATGTATCCAAAATTCAGGGTGTGTGAATAATCTTAGCCAACATAAACACATTCTTAGCATCAAGGTAAAATGTAACTCAATTGTCTATTTGAAATATGCTTTGACTCAAAGCTCGCCGGCTTTTACACTCAACAATTGAATCACTCAGAATATGGTGTAAATATCACTCTAAATATATGCGAGCAGAATAATGTGAACCAAAAGCAAAATTTCTCACATATTAACTTGGTTGAAAAATGCTCACAAGAAAGAATAAATACATAGTCTCATGGAAGGAATGCCATATACTGAGAATTAAAATTCACACATTATTAACTATCCATCATGTCCATATCCAAACCATACCATTCCTAAGATCAAATAGGACTTTTATTTGGTTGTAATGTAAGGGTAAAGGTGGAAAAATCAAAAAGAGGGTAAAGGTTGAGGTCTTGAGAGTAATGAAGATAAATATAACACAATTTAGGAGATTATTGCAGATAGTTCATTTTTCCAGACTCCTTCAAAAATTCACCTTTTGTGCTTTTTAGTAAGCGCACTCCCTATACTTCAATTTTTCTTCTTCTTTTTTTTTTTTTTTTTTTTTTTTTTTGTGTAACCCCTTCTCTTCATCTCCTTTTACAGCTCAAATAACAAATTTCAAGACAAATGAAGGCAAGTTGGATGTGGGGTTTAACAAAGAATGGCTAAATATAGGCTCAAATGGGTTTCAAGGTATTAATGTAACAAAGAAAAATATAAGGCTCAAAGAAACAAAGATGGCCTAAAATCATATCTTAAAAATTGGTATGGTCCTTCAATTTTCACGATCTCAAGGAAATAATAGTGTGACAACAAATAAATGTATTCTCAGCATTTAACCAAAACAAGGAATAATGAGACTAAACAACAAATTAGTGCGCGTCCAAAGAAAAATTAAGAGTAAATGTATAATAACCCTCCAAAGAAAAGAATGGCTCGAAACTCATAGGGTTATGAGTCTCCACTATCATTCTTCAAGATTTTTAAGTCACATCCACGTATCAACTAAATATTTTATTCATGTGGCTAAAGTGCAGTGCAAAAGTTCTAAATATGAACACATGGGATACTTTATCAATGAAGATAGCATAATAAATTTCAACACAATTCGCAAGCTAAGACAACAAAAACATCACAACTAAGCTCAATCACTTTAATGCACATATAAGAGATAACTTTGCGTTTTCTTTTTTCTTTATTTATTTATTTTTTAATAACAAACTCATTGCAATCAACACAAAATGATAATTAATCCCTCCCCCCAACCTAAATCGTGCATTGTCCTCAATGTAAAAAAAACAAAACAGGAAGGGGTTTACCTTAAATGATAAATGATGCTTGTGTTTCCTGCAATGGGTTAGCAATACAAAAACAAAAACAAAACAAAAAAAAAGGGAAAATAATGCAAAATGAAAAAGAAACTGAATCCAAATTTTTTTTTCCCAGAACCTGATAAATTAGATCACTAAGTTCCATGCTGGAAAATTTTCCAAAAATGGTTTCAGACGCTGTCCATTCACATTAAAAACATGACCATTTTTTGGGTTTTCAATTTCGACAGCTCCATGAGGAAAAACAGTTTTAACAGTTTTAACAATGAAAGGGCCAGTCCATTGAGGTCTCAATTTACCGGGAAATAATGTAATCTAGAATTATACAAAAGAACTTTTTGTGAAGGTTGAAAAGTTTTTCGAAGAATATGCTTGTCATGAAACACCTTCATTCTTTCTTTGTAAATCCTAGAATTCTCATAAGCATCTCTCCGGGTTTCTTCCAACTCAGTCATCTGCAATTTTCTTAATGAGTCAGCTTTGTCTAAGCTAAAATTGAATGTCTTTATGGCCCAGTATGCCTTATGTTCCAGTTCCACTGGCAAGTGAGAAGCTTTTCCATAGACAAGTCTATAATGTGACATGCCAAGCAGGGTTTTATAAATTGTACAGTATGCCCAAAGTGCATCGGTTAGTCACAAGGACCAATCTTTGAGATTCGGGATAACTGTTTTTTCCAAAATATATTTAATCTCCCGGTTAGCAAGTTCAGCTTGATCACTTGTCTGTGGGTGATAAGCGGTTGCAACTTTATGAGTAATAAAATATTTTTTCATCAAAACTTCAAAAGATCGATTGCAAAAATGCAAACCCCCATCACTTATAATGGCTCAAGGAATTCCAAACCTTGACAAAATATTTTCTTTCAAAAATTTTAAAACAGTTCAATGATCATTATGCCTGCAAGGAATTGCCTCAACCCATTTGGATACATAATCAACAGCAACTAAGATATAAAGATATCCAAAAGATGAAGGAAAAGGTCCCATAAAATCAATGCCCCAAGATCATTATGCCTACAAGGAATTGCCTCAACCCATTTGGAAACATAATCAACAGCAACTAAGATATAAAGATATCCAAAAGATGAAGGAAAAGGTCCCATAAAATCAATGCCCCATGATCATTATGCCTGCAAGGAATTGCCTCAACCCATTTGGATACATAATCAACAGCAACTAAGATATAAAGATATCCAAAAGATGAAGGAAAAGGTCCCATAAAATCAATGCCCCATGATCATTATGAATGGCAAAAGGAGATGACACTATTTATTTCATTATTAGGGACACATCTTCTTATGATTTGGTCTGGACAATATTTAAACAAATATGGATCATCCCAAAAGAAATTCTTTACCTCAACCAAAATTGCCTTCTGTCTTGTGCACTCCATTAACTCGGGATCATGCCTGTAACAAGTTAATTAACAATATCAGCATACCAAGGCAAATCAGTAATAGTAAACAATTGCTCATCAGGGAAAGTATCCTTTATGGGCATTGTTTCTATTTAGTCATCAAACACAAGTCGAGACAAATGATCCGCCACAACATTTTCTACTCCTTTTTTGTCTTTAATTGTGATGTTGAATTCTTGGAGTAGAAGGATCCACCTAATCAAGCGCGGCTTAGCATTCTTCTTGGCGAGAAGGTACTTTAAAGCTGCATGGTCAATAAATACAACAATAGGCGATCCAACTAAATAAGCACGAAATTTGTCAAGAGCAAAAAAAATACTACAGCTAGCAACTCTTTTTCTGTGGTAGAGTAGTTCATTTGGGCATTATTCAAATTTTTACTAGCATAGTAAATGACATATGGCTTTTTGTCCATGCGTTGTCCCAAAACAGCTCCAACTGCATAATCACTAGCATCACACATAATTTCAAAAGCTAAAGACCAATTAGGTGGTTGCATGATAGGGGCAGAAGTAAGCATGGTTTTCAATTTTTCAAAAGCCTCTTGATATTTATTAGTCCATTCAAATGGTGCATCTTTTAATAAGAGATTACATAACAGTCTAGATATGGTACTAAAATCCTTAATGAATCTCCTATAAAAACCTGCATGTCCTACGAATAGTCTAACATCTTTAATAGTCTTGGGGATAGATAGATTTGCAATTAACTCAATTTTAGATTTATCTACCTCAATTCCTTTAGAGGAAACAATGTGTCCAAGTACAATCCCAAAAGTAACCATGAATTAGCACTTCTCCCAATTTAACACAAGGTTCTTTTCTTCACACCTAGACAAAACTTTCTGTAAATTTGTTAAACAATCATCAAAAGAAACTCCAAATACAAAAAAATCATCCATAAAAACTTTTAAAAATTGCTCTACCATATCACTAAAAATACTCAGCATGCACCTTTGAAAAGTGGCTGGAGCGTTACATAATCCAAATGGCATCCTTCGAAAAGCAGAAGTACCAAAAGGACATGTAAAAGTGGTTTTTTCTTGGTCCTCTAATGAAATTTCAATTTGGTAATATCCCGAGTACCCATCTAGTAAACAATAAAATGCATGTCCAGCTACCCTTTCTAAAAGTTGGTCCAAAAATGACAAAGGGAAATGGTCTTTCCTAGTCATGGAATTTAATTTTGTATAGTCAATGCACATACGCCAACCAGTAACAACACGAGTTGGAATCATCTCATTGTTCTCATTTTTTACCACAGTTATTCCAGACTTCTTGGGTACTACTTGTGTGGGACTTACCCATTTACTATCAGCTATGGGATAAATGACCCCCACATCTAATAGCTTAAGGACCTCTCCTCTCACAACATCTTTCATTGTAGGATTCAACCTACATTGCATCTCCCTCGAAGGTTTGGCATTTTCTTCCAAATAAATTCTATGAGTGCACACCAAGGGACTAATTCCTTTAATGTCTGCACTGGTCCATCCTATTGCCCCTTTATGTTGTCTCAAAACATTAAGTAATTTACCTTCTTGCATAGAGTCAAGTTTAGAAGATATTACCACTGGATATGTGTCCTCGGGTCCTAAAAATGCATACTTCAACTCTGTAGGCAAAGGTTTCAACTCAAATTTTGGTACTTGTTCACTTGATGGCAAAGGCTTACTCACAGAAGTTGGCAATTGCTCAAACTTTGGCTTCCACTTGTAGTCTTTCAATTACGGTGCAGATTCCAATTAAGAACAAATGTATGCAATTTTTGAATCTTCATCAAAATCACAAGAATTAACTAAGCAAGATTCAAGTGGATCAGAAAAATAGGAGTTATTGAAATGCTTTTCAACAAATGTATCGATCAAGTTCACTTCCTCAATCTCATCACTATCCCTTGGTTGTTTGCAAATATTGAAAATATTCAACTCCAAAGTCATATTACCAAAAGACAATTTCATCACACAATTTCTACAATTAATCAAAGCATTGGAAGTTGCAAGAAATGGACGACCTAAAATGACAAGAATTTGTGTGTATGCAAAACAGGATGTGTGTCCAATACAATAAAATCGGCAGGGAAATAGAAGTTATCTATTTGAACCAACACACCTTCCACAATTCCCCTCGGTATTTTCACAGAATGGTCTGCAAGTTGAGGTGCAATGGTAGTCGGTTTAACTCTCTAAGACCTAATTGTTCATAAACTGTATATGGTAAAAGGTTCACACTTGCCCCAAGGTCAAGCAAAGCTTGCTCTATCCTATAGTTCCCAATCACACAAGAGATTATGGGGCATCCTGGATCCTTAAACTTTGGTTCACCTAATTGTTCATAAACTGTATAGTTCCCAATCAAAAAGGTTTTCTTTTGTATATTAAGCTTTCACTTGACTGTACACAAATCTTTCAAAAATTTGGCATATGACGGGATTTGTTTTATTGCATCCAACAGGGGGATGTTAATTTTGACTAGCATGAAAAGTTCAAAAATTTCAGCATTATGACTTGATTTGTGAGGGGGCTGCAATCTTTGTGGAAAAGGAGCAGGAATCGGACATCTCATTTCTTCACTTGGCTTGGACTTCTCAATATCATCACCACTCTTTGATTTTGAAATATCCTTAGGCTTTGGGGCCTTCATAGGAATCGTTTTATCAATAATTTTTCCACTGTGAAGTGTAGTAATAGATTTGACATGTGCAAGCTGAGTGTCAGAAGTTGAAGAATCACTCACACCATATTGTCCTTGTGGGTTGGGTTGAGCTTGAGAAGGAAATTTACCTTTTTCTTGAATGCTCAATGAAGATGTCAATTTGGTGAGAGTGTTCTTAATGTCATATATTGCCTGAGATGTCTGATTATTTATCACTGTCTGGCCTTGCATGAATTGTTGCAATGTATCCTCAAGGTTATTTCTTTGGCGGGGGAGCACATGGAACAAAATTAGAATGTCCTTGAGGTTGTGGGGGTAGTGCAACATTATTACTCCTCCAACTAAAATTTGGGTGATTCCTCCGTCCTAGATTGTAAGTCTCAGAATAGAGGGATGAAACAGGCTTTTAAAAAGTGTTTATAGCATTTGCTTGATCATGCAACACCTCCTTAAAAACTGGGATAGTTGGACATTCAAGTGTTAGGTGTCCCATGGTCTCGCAAATGTCACAAACATTTTCTCTTTTAGGCACAAATGTTATTTCATTAACTTTCCTTAATTCCATGGCCTCTATTTGGCTTGGTTTTTACTAGAATGCCCTAGAGTATCGGTGGTATCCCAAGATTGGGCATTCTCTGCTAGTAAATCAAAGTACTCAAAAGCTTCATCGGGATCTTTATTCAAAAATTCACCGTTACACATCATCTCTACGAATTGGCGCATTTGAGGAGTCAAACTTTCATAGAATAAACCAATAACTCGCCAAGATTCGTAGCCATGATGTGGACAAGAGTTTAACAAATCCTTAAAACGTTCACAACACTGATAAAAAGTTTCATTTTCTTTTTGAGAAAAATTCATGATCCGTCTTTTCAAAGAATTTGTTCTATGTATTGGGAAAAAGTTCTTTAAAAATTCAGTTTGTATCTCTTGCCAAGTGCTTATTGATCTAGATCAATGAATTTAACCATGTTTTTGCCTTATCTTTTAGAAAAAAAGGAAATAACTTCAGCCTTACAGTCTCCTCACCATAGGTTTGGTCAAGAAAAGTAGCACAAACTTCTTAAAATTCTTTAATATGCAAGTAAGGATTTTCAGAGTCAAGGCCATGAAATCTAGGAAGTAACGCAATCATACCCGGTTTAAAATTAAAATTATATGCATTTGGAGGAAAAATAATACAAGACGGAGCACTACTCCTTGTGGGTTGCAAATAATCACGCAAGGTTCAAACAGGTTGGGCCATTTGAATTTGATTTTCATTACCACCATTATTTGCCATCGTGTCAGGTGTGTGAGGGTGTACAAATAAATCAAATTTAGACTCAAAGAGATTACCAAACAATGTATCTGAATCAGAATCAATTCTTACCAACCGACCAAGATGATCACGATACCAAATATGCATGCAACATAACCAAATTTTGTTTTATTTTTTTAAATAAAAAAAACCAAATCCTACTTATTCACAAAAGTAAAATGAAATAAAATAAAATAAACGGGTTGTATTCGCAATGCAAATCTCCTTGGTACTTTTTTAAACAATGATGCAGGTCCCCGGCAACGGCGCCAAAAACTTGTTGTGACTTTTTTTATTGGAATCCCAAGTGCAGGATGTCGCAAAGTAATATAACTCAGTGAGTCTGAGGTCAAATCCACAAGGACCAGTTTGTTCAAAATAATTACCAAACACTCAAATAAAGTAAAGAAAAATATGATTTTGAATTTTTTTGTTAAGGGCAACAGTCTTTCGTCACGGAAGCCTGCATTCTTCGGCCAAATTCTCGTGTGGACAAACCCAATTATGATACCATCACCATATCCAGCATTGGGACGTAGTCCGTAGGATGTGGCGAGGCTAAGAAAACTAGGCATTCGCGTCATGTGCAGTTGAGTATCGAGTGTGTCTTCCTCAATTGCCATAACCCCCGGAAACAAAGAGATTTATCAGTCTCATGTGTCATGGAAGCTGCAAATCCATGTACAATGTGGGAGTACTCATGCAAAATGTTTAGCCGCTGACATACTGCATCTAGCATAGACACATGCCACGCACTTCTATTGGTTGCACTTGGCATGAATCCGCCATCTGTAAGGACAATGTATGGCCTGGTTGTCGCACAAGACAAATCGTGTAATAATTGAAAGAAGAAAAACATCATAATTAAAGCCATGTTATTGTTACAGATATTAGAAATCACACAAATGCTACAGAGATTGAAAGAAGGAAGAAAAATTCTTCACTCTCAATATTTGATTTCACTTATTTAAAACACTTAGGTAGCTGAGGTATTTATAAGCCTTAATACAAAATCTTTAGAAATCTTACACACATAAACAAGAGTTTGCTTATGTTGCATGCATATTTGGTATCATGATCATCTTGGTCGGTTGGTGACCATTGATTTTGATTCAGATACATTGATTGGTAATTTCTTTGAGTCTGAATTTAATTTATTTGTACACCCTCACACGCCTGACACGATGGCAAATAATGGTAGTAATGAAAATCAAATTCAAATGGCCCAACCTGTCCAAACCTTGCGTGATTATTTGCAACCCACAAGGAGTAGTGCTCCGTCTTGTATTATTTTTCCTCCAAATGCATATAATTTTAATTTTAAACCGGGTATGATTGCGTTACTTCCTAGATTTCATGGCCTTGACTCTGAAAATCCTTACTTGCATATTAAAGAATTTTAAGAAGTTTGTGCTACTTTTCTTGACCAAACCTATGGTAAGAAGTTTGCAGATTAAGATTTTACCCTTGATAGAATCTGAAGGTATGTTGTCATAGGTGCAAGTGCTATAGAATTGGAGGGGAAAAGCATCATCAGTGATTGATCTACCACAGTAGAGAAAGTTGTCGCGGACTTGTTCTCCATTTTCGACTCGGACCTTTGCAGGATAGGTTCTGTCAATGGTGTTGGAGCCAACAGTGGTCACCCACGGAGCCGAGTTAACTACTGTTGATGGCATCGAGCCCATGTTCCCCGCACCGAATGTCACAAAAATGTCATTTTGAGCAGCTTTCAACGTACTAATCATGTAAACATCATTGTAAAATGGCTTGGGGGAGTTGTTTCCCATGGGGATTGACAAGATATCTATAACATCAAAGATGACAACATCAATTGCAGCAAGAGTATCGGTTAAAGTACAAATTTTCCTCCAGCTAGCTTTGTAGACGCAATACGGGCCTTGGGGGCTATTCCTTGTGCATCTCCATATGCAAAACCCAGCAAGCCGACACTGGAAATCTTAGCTCTAGCAGCAACTGAAGCAACAGTTGATCCATGGCCTGTAGCATCTCGTGGAGACCTGTACTCCCTACCACCATCGACTCGCCGACCGATTAGAGTTTTGATTCCAGAGGCAAAGAAACGGGCACCAATGATTTTATTGTTGCAGTCATCAGCGGAGAAATTGCTGCTTTCTTGGCAGATTCCTCACCATTTGCTGTTGTTAAGAGGCAACAGTCCTTTGTCACGGAAGCCTACATTCTCCGGCCAAATTCCCATGTAAACAAACCCAATTATGATACCATTACCACATCCAGCATTGGGATGTAGTCCGTAGGATGTGGCGAGGCTAAGAAAACTAGGCATTCGCGTCATGTGCAATTGAGTATTGCGTGTCTTCCTTAACTACCATAACCCCCAGAAACAAAGAGATTTTATCAACCTCACGTGTCATGGAAGCTGCAAATCTATATACAATGTGGGAGTACATGTACAAAATGTTTAGCCGCTGGCATATTGCATCTAGCATGGACACATGTCACATACTTCTATTGGTTGCATTTGGCTTGAATCTGCCATCTGTAAGGACAATGTATGGCATGGTTGTCACACAAGACAAACCATGTAATAATTGAAAGAAGAAAAACATCATAATTAAAGCCATGCTATTGTTGCAGATATTAGAGATCACACAAATGCTACAGAGATTGAAAGAAGAGAAATTCTTCACTCCCAATATTTGATTTTACTTACTTAAAACACTTAGGTAGTTGAGGTATTTATAAGCCTTAATACAAAATCTTCAGAAATCTTACACACATACATATATTAGACTAGTTGCGAGGTGTCGTGCTTCGCACGATAGCCCATGCCCATGGTTCAAGCAATCTTAAATTGCTTGATTTGAACCTATTAGTTATCAATGTACAAAAACATGAGCATAACAAAATGCAATACTTATACTATGCTGAAGGAAAATTTGCTAACTATTGATAATTTGTGATTTTTTATTTTTATTTTTATGTAGGCTACATAGATGCAAAAACAAAACAAAGATCATTGTCGTATTCCTCCATAACAAGCATGAACAACTCTTGTGGGAAGCACGCAAACCCCAAAGATGAAATTAGAAAAATATGTCACATATAATTACTAAAAATTCAAGCAACGCACTTGAAGTAGAAGCATTAATTCTAGGGGTACTTATGTGTAGGTCCTAATAAGTGGACTTATTGTCTAATAGGTCCTATGGAAAAAATTTGTCACAAAAAAAGTCAATAATTGTAAGTTTTAGCGACAATTTATAAAAATCATGACAAAAAAAAGTACTAATTGTCAATTTTTAGCGACAATTTTACCAAAACTTATTTTTAATAGGACTTGATGGGAATTAAGTCCAACTATTAGTAGTTTACCCTTAATTCTAATGTATAAGCTTCAAATTTCTAACCAAGCAAGTGTTACGGATAAAATCATTAACAGAAATTGAAAAGAGTAGTTATGGATGAAATCATTAACATGACATACCTTCTACGTTAATAACTAATATGAAGGTAGAATAAAATGGACCGAATTGATAAAAAAAGCTAACTTAGAACCGAAAACACAAAACACGAACATTAAAAAAACTTTTTAAAACAAATTGATACATAGCAATCTCTATACTTTCTAAAATGAATCGATCTAATTATCTCACCAAGGTAATCTCCAAGTTTTGAGGCATTGGCGAAAGCTTTTAAGATGAATGATTCAATGTTGACCTTTAAAAAAATAAAAAACATTGCTTGACATAAAAATAGACTCTAAGCAACAATTGTTTAATAATTGTATGCTTTATATTTCCATTGACAAATCAAATAAATCCTGATTAGTTACACGAAGTATGATATCTAATTGACAAATCAAAACAGTTTCATGAGGTAAGTTCATAATTGAATGGTATGCCAAATATATGTTTGTGATTTGCATTCACCAACTTTTTTCTCCAATACATGACATATGAACAACTTTATAATTGACCATAGGTATAGATGCATACGTAGGCACATATACACATGCTTGCAATGATATGCATAGATATATATACATTTAAAAAAACATGCCCACATTTGAATTTAGTGGTTGTCGATTGTGTCTAGTACAAAAAGACAAAAGAACAAATACTACAACTAGGTATTGCATGAAATGACATAGATTTGTAAACATACAATGCATTTGGAAGGCCAAAACAAAATTCAAAAGCCATATATATAGAAATAATCTAAAAATGAAAGTTTAACTCATTGAGTTACATTAAAACGATAGAACCAAACAAGGAAAAATTACCGTTAAGTCCTACTTTGGATTTAATATTACTATTCCTATCAAGTTTTATTATGGGCAACTCCCACAAAATTCAACTTTATAAATTTGATTATAATTTTACCCTTCTCATTTAATATGAATAATAATTTCATAAACAATTTTAATTATGAAAATTATATTAAACAAAATATAACTAACAATTGGATCAAAAGATCATTTTCTGTTATTCGAAACTATGATTTTTTTATTTTATATTATGGTAAACAATTCAAAAGGGCAAAAATTTATTAAAATTCCATCAATAGTCACAGAAAATAATACAGTGGTGAATTCATAAATTTTTCAATGGTATTATTGAAACTTTATAGGACTTAATGCTATTATTAAAAGCAAAATAGGACTTAGTGATTATTTTTTCAAGAAAGAATAAAGCATAACCAAGGAATAAACTTTTGTAAATGAGAATTTTAGTTCCAAATGAAAATTTTGACTAATCTTGGTCATCAATTTTGTGACCTCACATCGAATTTACACACTTTTTGTCAAAATAAAAATTCAATAATAGTCCAACCAAATTTTTAAATATGAGGGCATTGGGCATAATCTTTTAAGTTAAATTGACAATGATAAATATCAATGAAATAGCAAGATGACATTCTTATATGAGCAAGACTTGGTGATTAATCTAACCAATTATGTGATGACAGTGTTGAGAAGAGAATTATCAAGTACATACAATGGTTAACAAATACATAAAAGCACATTAAAATGGTTAATACTAATCACTTTGAAGCCACATACCGTTCAATGTCCTCTTAAATGATTCCCAATTGCAAAATAGAGCTCCAGAAAAATAAGTCACAGGGTAATGCTAATCACTACTAAAAGGATAGGTCAAGTACCTATATATATATATAGCATTGGGCCTACAAACAGGGTACTTTGCTCTGAGCATGTACTCAATACTCTAGAAAATTTCTAACATGCATATTTAAAAGGCAAATATTGAATGAAGATGGCAAACATACCTTTCTAAATATCTATCCAGCTTGCAAAGAGTGACTACAAGAGAGACCAAACAACTAATCCAGTCACAGAAATTAAAGCTTGCTATAATCGGCCAAGACATAAAAATTAGAAAATTCAATACATAAAGCAGACACAAAACTATATAGAGAAAAATATTCTACACACCAAACAATAAAGTGATATAGATCTGTGGAAGATTTTTTATTTTTTTTTATAATCTGGTAGCAAGTCCCAAGGCACAGAGGACTGTCTCTTTATCCGTGAAGAAACAAAAATCGAAGACACAAAAGTAAATGAAATGTGAATTTTATTCCCTTTCCATTTTATGAATTATGAAACTAACCACAACACCTTGTGTTAAGAACTACGGAATGCTAAATAATACAAAAGATAACCTTAGAACTTGGCATATACACGACAACAAGCATAACAATGAGGGTTTAGGATTTAGGATTGGTTAAGGACTATAATGGTCTTGTCTATATTTTTCTGAAAATATACTAAAATAGATTCAGGAGCCTCAAATAGAAATCCCAAACATATAGTCGGTACCAATATATTATACATTTAATTATATATCAAAAAAGGAAAGAGTTACAAACACATTGAAGTCAGTTTTGTAATTCTACACATTTGAAAATATCCTAAAGATCCTTCACAATAACAAAACCCCAAGCAAATCAACTAGACAAGAACTATATTCATACTAAATGGTTGCAATCCGCAAATTGCGCACAACATTGAGTGGAACAAAGCACAGTTTCTCTTTCACATCATGCATAATGAAGGTCTCATCCAGAGTAGCTTAATATTTTGTCAGAAATGAAGAAATAGAAAATAGAATAAGTGAAGAAGATGAAACGATACCTTGGACTTTGGCAAGAACAATACAGTTGAACTTTGCTCCATCTACAAATTAACCAAAAAACCAAGAGCTTATGCAATAACTACAAAAGAAGCAGATTCAATCATCTTTTGCTAGGAAAATAACTCTGAGGAAAGAAGCATGAGCATTTAAGACTATATGACCACTACCTCTTGTAGTTGTGTGATCAAGGCACAAGGCATGAGGCCATCTTATTCGAAATGGAAAATATATGAACCAATAAAGCAATGAATCAAATGAAAACGTCAATAAATAATGGAGACCTGCAGGTTTAAGCAATAAATTAAGATCAATAGTTGCATGAATACGACCACAAATATAAGCAAGAATGAATAGTGGACGAAACAGTACATGTAGGTTTACTTCTGATGCAGGTAAGAAAGATAATAGATTATATAGAAAACAACCAAGAAAAATCGAAGCCATGAATCAAAAAGAAAATAAATTTTAAAAACACTGCACCATTGCAGATTGAATTGCAAAGGACAAAAAACAATAGCAGAATTGATAAACACAAAGCATGAAAGCCACAATACATCATTTAAAATTGATGGGAATAGAAAACATAGAAGATTTTTTTTTACCTTGCGAGCTATACATCAGTTTAAAATTGATGCCTTTATAATTTTACTTCACACGACAATACCAGGAAAGAAGAATTCAAGCACATCAAGGCATTGCAGTTTCATTCCCCAGGAAATTGCAATGAAGAAACTGCAAAAGGTTAAGGAAAATAGGTTTAATTTCTAATAGGTTTAAGGAAAATACTGAAATCGAGAAGGGTTGTAAGGGAAGGAGGAAATTGACAAATTGAAATCTTACCTTGCGAGCTATAAATTGAAATCGAAGGGTTGAAGGGTTGATGAAGAGGAGCGTGACGAAGGACGAAGAGGGTGGTTGTCGATGAAGAGAAGGTGACGCAAAGTGTGAGAAGAAGAACAGTTGTGACAGAGAGGGTGGGTTTTTTCGTTCTGTTCAAGATTAACAGAGAGTGAGAGTGAGAGATAGAGAGAGGGAGATAGAGAGGGGGGTTGGTGGGCAGCCGCGTGGGTAGGTGGGCAACATAATTGATACATTCAACAATTCATCCCACTAAAAATATCATCACTAATAACACTAATACATTAAAAAAATATAAAAAAAAAAAAATACAACTCCAAGATCAAAACATTACATCATTAATGGCGGGACCCACTATCACCTAATTAGTGGGAGCACTAATTAGTGCTCCCAAGTATTTTTCTTTTAATATTTCAACCTTATCCGCAACACTTTTTTAATATTTCACCTTTTTTTTGGAGATAGAGAGGGGGGGTAGGTGGGCAGCCGCGTGGGTAGGTGGGCAACATCATTGATACATTAACGTTTGAGAAGAGTTAAAATAATTTGATTTTTTGATTTTTTTTTTTACTATTTTAATTTGATTTTTTTAATCTCTTTAACTTTTTGTTTAAATTTTTTTTTTTGTAAAAAAAAATGTAATAATTTTAATTTGAATGTGATATTTTATCTTACTAATTTATGTAATCAATTTTAATTTTTTTCATATTTTTTTAACTAAAAAATAAAAATCAAACATAGCTTTAGGCGGCAACCAACATTGATATGAATAATTGATATATACTTAAGATTAATTTAAATCATTAAAATTAAATGTATCTTTGATATATTTTAAGTATTTTAAAAAACCTTTCTGTCTTATTATATTGATAAATATATTTTATCTATGTAACGTCCCCCCCCCCTCACTGGTTGTTTCTTTACTATTGGTGTTTTAGAAAGTTGTTAAAAAGTTAATTTTTGACTTTTTTAGCCAAAAAAAATTAACTTTTTGAGTAGTGACTTAAAAAAAAAGTTAATTTTTTTAACTAAAAAACTAAAAGCTAACTTTTTTTTAACTTCCCAAATAAGCCATTTGATTTTCATCTTCTCTATTTGAAAGATGGTGGTTCCATCTTCCATCTAAGAAACAGATCTGCTAAAACAAAATAATAATAAAAGTAAAATAAAAGTAATGTAAAGTGAGTTAGGTGGGTATGTTATTTTTTTTATAATTTACTTTCTTTTCACATTTTTTCTTTTACAAACAATCAAACAAAGCTCTCACCATTTGGGGATTTTCTTTTATCTCAAAATCACGGGTTTTATTTTGCTCTTTTTTACTGAGGAGTCACAACCAATAGCTTTCATCAATGACAAAGCTCACCTTTTGGAAGTAACTGACAAAAGTAACATTTGGGGCTTTTCTTTTATTTTAAAATCACGGGTTTTATTTTTCTCTTTTTTACTATGAGGGAGTCACAACCAATAGCACTCATCAAATGACAAAACTTACCTTTTGAAAATAACTGACAAAAGTAACACTGTAACTCATTAACTCTCACTTTGTTATTATTAATTTATTTAAAAATTAAAATATTTAGTTAATAGAGAAGAAGAGATTCAATTTTTATTTTATTTTTTTTCTTTATGAATCGTAGAGAAGATGACTCTCAACTTTTGAAAATATTCTCTCATTTTTGTAACACACTTTGTGTTATATCATGGTGTTAATATTTAGGGTTTGTTTAGAATGTGAGTTGGGTCATTTTATTTACACACTACTTTTCCTCTCAAGGCAAATCATTGATTAATTTATTTTTTATTACAATTTTAACCTTAAGTGAAATGACTATAGAGGACAAGTTATGATACACACCATTTGTGTATTTACCATAAAGGACAAGAATCAATATAATATAATTCATCATTTTCAAACTTGTTCCTTACATATCTTCTCTGTTAAGAATCCAAAAATCCTAAAACCAAAATCAAAAACCCTTCAACAAATAATCAAAAATATAGTATTATTAAAGATTTTGATTGAATTCAATGAATGATGCATCTGACAATTCTCATTCAGAAGAATGGTGCAATGAAAAGGTTTTTTTTTTTTGGTTATTTTTGTCTTCGTTTTCGTGTATGAGTGGTAAATCGTTGTTCGATTAACCAGAGGTGAATAATATATCATTATTCGACAAACTACAATCGAACAACTTACATATGTTCAACAGATTACAATTGAACAAATTACATATATTCAACAGACTACAATCGAACAACTTACATATGTTCAACAAACTACAATCGAACAACTTACATATGTTCAACAGACTACAAATCGAACATATTCCATTTGTTTGACTATCGAAAACCGAACAAATGTGTTCGGATTACTACGGTCAAACTATTTCATTTAATTCAACTTTGCACTTCCGAACAGCTATAAATTTTTTTTTTTTTCGAAACCGTGCATCTGTGGAATGCAGTAATGTTGGATCTGGGGGTCTTGTTGACTACACGAGTCAATTTATTACTAATGAGGTAGTCTCATGTTAAAAATTAATAGTTTTTTCTTTTTGTTTTCGAATGTTTAATGACTTTGTTGAGCACCAACACAGTGTTCATCGCTTGAAACTGAGAATGGAGGGGGGAAGATGGACGAAGGTGGGTGTGTGGGGGTGTGTGAGTGAGTGAGGATAAATATGGGAGTTTGTGTGTATATTGTTGTGGATGGGTGTGTGAGTAAAGACAAATATATAAATTTATGGTGTGTGATGAGCAAAATATATATTTACTAAATTATTAAAGGTGTGCTTTTAGAAGTGGTTTGCCTTAAGATAATTTATGGTGTGTAATAGAGGCACCCATGTGGGTTGGTTTTTTGATTTTTTAGTTTTGTGACTATTTTAACCTAGGGCTAAAAAGTCTCGTTCGGGATAGGCTTTTTGACTTTTTTTTATTTTTGTGAAAGAAAAAATAAAATGATTATGATTTAAATGTGACATTTTATTTTATTGAACTAAAAATTATTTTTTGTCTATTTTAACCAAAAAAAACCCCACTTAACTTATGTCATAAAGAATTTTACACTTTGCTGCCTCATAGATGGTTATTGTTAGTGGACCTTTTTTTTATTATTTCAACAGTCACAACCTGCTTGTTAGAAATTTAGAGAGACAGAGAAAGATTGAGATAAGTTAGAGTGGCCTGCTTGTTAGAAATTGAGAGAGAGAGACAGAGAGAGAGAGAGAGAGAGAGAGAGAGAGAGAGAGAGTGATTAGGATATGTTAGGGTGTGCCTTTTATAGGCGATCATTGATGGATGGATGATAGAATTATTTGGTTACAAAGACTGGAGTGTATCTTGAGTATAATAAAATAATTAATCTAACGTTCTTCAATGCATCAGAGTAATCTTTACTCGAATTGTCAATTTTGAATTCAAAAAAGTGTTCAAGAAAATATATATTTTTTTTTAAATCAAAGTAAATGTAATAAAATATTAAGTTTGGCTCAATGGAAATGAGTGTTTCTTTTCAAATTTGTCAAGTTTTATATGTCAACTAACAAATTTGGCATACAAATTTTTGAAGGTTTAAGTAGAGTTGCTCTTGTACAATTATATTGTGTGATCTATTGAAAACATAATTTAGATTATGAATTTAATTAGTGATTTGAAAAGAGAAAAGAAAATGATGAGTGAAATTGTATTTTATTTACCCTTTCTCTTTGTTTTTTCAAATTTTTATTTGATGCTTGTAAAATTACACAACTTTTATGGTGAGTGTTAAATTTTTTAGATGTATTTATTAAATGTATTTAAGAAGTTTAAACAAATGTTAAAGACAAAAAATACAAATACGTAAATGTTCTATTTTTGTTTTCAATTTTATTTTTATTCTTTTTGTTTTTATCTTCAAAAGGTAATAGTTCGTCTTTGTACCTAAGAACAATTCAATAGGGCATTTAATATGTAAAAAGAACAATTCAATAAGGCATTTAATATGTAAAAACATAGATACTTACCTCCACTATGAGTGGAATGAAAATGGAATATAGTGCGACAGTAATTGGGTAAATATTAATTTCTTTTTAGATTTAAAAAATATAATAAATTATATAATTTTAATGTAAACATATTGAGAACACTACTAAAAACCGGAGCTTTTGTGACGGTCATAAATGTTGCCAAAGGTTCACATATCGTCGCAAAAGACTTTTCGTGACGGAGTAGCGATGGGAAATGGGGGGTGGCGGACGGGGGCGTGACAAAAAGTATTTGCGACGGTTACAAACCGTCGCTTCCCTGTAGCGACGGCTAATCAATAGTTTTTGCGACAGTTTAACCTGACACAAAAAAGAGAAGAAAAACTTCATTGTTTGTGACGATGTTGATTGCAGTCGCCAAAAACCTTTTCAGCGACGGTATTTGCCATTGCAAAAGGTATTATTAGCGACGGTCTAAAACGTTGCGAAAATTTTAATTCTGATAATACTTAATCAATTTTCATCAATAATTTGTTAGTTGTATCTATAAAAAAAAATAGTGTTATTATATTTTCTATATTAAAATATGTATTTTATTCTCTTTATGTTTGTGTCTGTACGAGTACGAAATAATCTTCACTCGTATAATCTTGTTGATCAAACTTGTGCTCCACCAAACACCATCGTAATTCCTGAAATCACAAACGTGAGCTAGCTGACGGGTGTATGCTGGAAACTCCTTTGATGCCTAAGCCAGCAAGTAGACTAAGAAAGTAAAAGCTCTGTGAATTTGGGAGTAAGAATTGTAATATCAAAGATTATGGTTTGGTTTGAGCTTTTATAGATTTTGCATGGCACAATTCTAGTAGAACTCTAACTCGCTTTTGTAGAGTCCTCCTTGGAATCTTATTCTAAATGATATGTTTATCCTTTGACACCCTCCAAACTACAAGTCAAGTGAGATGACTCAACTCTTTGCATGGCTTCCAGCTG